GCCATTGGATTTTTCCAAATTAAAATTATTTTTAAATTCCTCCTTCAATTTTAAACTTAAAAGATATTTTGATTTGTTATCCTACGTTACTCCGCTTTTGAGTAAAAAAAATAAAACTGTTGTATTGTCCGAGAAAATTAAAATAATTATTAAAGAATGAAATAAAAAAAATAACATTTGGACCAAAGTTTATAAAGCAAATAACTATAATTAATTTTTCATATATATTTAGACCCTTAAATATTCGCATATCATTAGGGAAAGCCCCTGTTTTAGTTTTCTTTTTATTTTAAGCATTTCAAATTAGTACACTTCAAAGTCATTTTCAGTAATCAGTAGAAAACATACATTGAAATTGTGGCAAGTTGTTGGCCCTTTAACGCATGCTATGGCAAAGTAACGTTTAACGGTAAACTCGTTATGGCCCGTTTGAAATTTTTAATTGACTTCCGTTAACTTTAATTTTTCGATGGGCCGTTAATGGTTTCTTAACTGTTTCCCACATTCAACTATAAGTAAAATCGTTATGGACCGTTTGAAATTTGTAACTACCTTCCTTTTAACTTTAATTATTTGATGGGCCGTTGACGGCTTTTTAACTGTTTCCCACATTCAACTGTAAAAGTATGGTAAAATTCAAAAAGCTTTTAACTGCCGCATATTTTATGAATATAGTTTTTGTAGAAGACACACGTCAGTGTTGCCAACCGGGGGGAAATTTCCCGTTTCGCGGTAATTTTTAATACAAAAGGTAAAAAATGGAAAAAGTTAACTAAAAACGGGATTTTTTTAGAAGCGCCTGGTTAATAAAATGATGCTGAGGACCCTTTTTTGTTTAGATATTTCACAAACAAAGGTCCGAGATTTCATAAAAGTGGTAATTTTTAAGGTATGTGGAGAGAAAAATCTTACTTCAAGGTTGGCAACACTGACACACGTGGTATCATTTTTATAAGAGCCTTTTGATGGGAAGTTATTAATATTATGAGAAACTGCTGGCAATGTGCAGGCCTTTCACTACTTATGCCTGGTAAATATACAAGCTTTATGCAAGTCCATTGAAGGATAGTTATTATTAATATTATGGGTAACTGCTGGCCATGTGCAGGTCTTTCATTACCTATTGCTAGTAAAGTGACCATACGGCCTTCTGTCGCCCGTTGTGACAAAAGGTCGACTTTCCAATTGTAGACCCCTCCAAAAGGCCACTACTTGAAGTAGCATACATACGTTTAAGGGCGTTAACTTGCCAAAACAAATTGTTTGTTGGGAAGTCTATTTAGGTACCCCAAATCTCAATAATTTATTTCCGTTCAAAACATTATATGAGAGAAGTTTATATATTAAGAAGGTTTAAGAAATGTTAACAATGGACCAGATGACAACGATACCAGGGCCACATTAATATTTCTGTTATTTATTAAGCGATTTGGATCATATTTGTGACAAACCCACTGAATATAATTCCAAATTCATATTTATACTGAAGCAAATCTTTCTGTTTTAATGGATATTTTCAAATATTTTTTTAAGTAGAAGAAAATGAACTGGAAAATAATGTTCTAAGTGGTGTATGGTGCATATTGTCAAAATGGCACTTATTAAGAAAACCATCTTAGAATAATAAAACAAATTTTTATTGGATCCAAAAATCACAAGATTTTGTACAGATTCATTATCTTATTATAGGTAAATAAATTGAAACTAAAATTTACATTATTCAAAAGTATACCTTAATAATACTAATTAAAAAATACAATACAGGGTGTACCAATAAAAACTGCAAGGCCAGATATTTTGGTAAGTAATAGAGATATTTTAATTCTGTAAAAGCCAGTTTATAGAGCTCTAAGAGAGCTTCAGTTTTAGATATAAATTAATTTTAAATAGGTCAATATGTAGATGTCGCTGCGCTCAATATTTTTTTTTTTTTTCGATGGAAGGATCTTTCTTATGTAGCGCATCTGGTAAAAAATGCATTTTTAAGCAAATTTTGTTCTATGAACTAATTCGATAAATCCAACCATTTTTGATATACAGAGTGGGTCATTCAAAACAGTTTAATCCTGTTTTTCGGCATTAATCATCGAATTTTTAGAAAATGCTAAAACAGTTCGATTTTTATTTCAAATTAAACACATTTTTACAATACAGACATCTGACATGTGTCAACCCCCTCCCTTCCACTTCTCTAACCCCTTAATTTTAAATAAGGAATGTACCATGTACGGTACATCATTAAAAAGGTAATTTTATGGGGAAGAAGATAAAAAAATCTGTAACGTATTATAAATTGTGACACTTCATTTGAAAGATAATTTAATTACTGATTCAATGCACCACATAACATTAATATAAATCAAACGAATATAACACAAAATCTGTACCACATAAACAACTTTATTCAATTTTTTTGATTAAGCGACTAGTTTCGGCCAACTGGCCATCTTCAGGCCTACAATATAAGAACTTATGTCTAAGGAGAAAAACATACAGATCAACAATACTTACATTCATATATAAAATTATCTTCTACACCAGATTATTGACATTGGACAGAATGAGTTACATGATTAATTAAAAGTATAGATGAAGATTATGTGGTAAACATAAGTAAAATAAATGTTATTAAAGGTTTAAATATTGAAAATTAGGAATTATAATTAACAAGTAATCACCGGTAAGGTGATCAGAAATGACGGGAGTGTGCGACATCCCTGTTAAAAAATTGAGAGGTGATCCAAAGTTATAGGAGTATGTGACATCCCTGTTGAAAGATAAAAGATTAACATGGTCAATTCTCAAATAATTATTTTTAAACCAGATAAAGGTTAAAAGTTGAGTAAATTTAGTAATAATTAAGAGCAAAATTTGAAAATCTCAAAATTATGTCTTGCAAGAATAGACAAGATGGCGGAAACCGGAAATGAAAAAGTAAAATTAAGTAATGTCATATGTCAATGTCAACAATGGCGCTAACAATTTAAATTAAGGTGAACAATAAGTTTATTAAAAAACACAGAAATTTGTTTAAAAGGTAGCAGTTGGCCGAAACTAGTCGCTTAATCAAAAAATTGAATAAAGTTGTTTATGTGGTACAGATTTTGTGTTATATTCGTTTGAATAACTCGACCACATTTGAGAATATGGATAATCTTTCGTCATTAATATAAATATTTCCATATTGCACTTGCAACAAAATAAAGTTAGCAATAATGTTTAAAATAATGCATGACTAATTTTCAAACTATTGCAAGTGCAATATGGAGGATATTTATATTAATGTTATATGGTACATTAAATTAGTAATTAAATTTGCTTTCAAATAAGGTGTCACACTTTAAAATACGTAGTTTTTTATCATTATAGAGGGCAGTACAATTAAAAGATTCGCAATGAACAGTCATAATTCTAAATTCCCCATAAAATTACCTTCTTAATGATGTACTACACATTGTAGTATCACACTCTATAATACGTAGTAGTTTTTATCCCGCTAGAGGGCGATAAAATTTAAGTGACGCAATGTACAGAAATATTTATGAATCCCCCATTACATTACTTATTTAAAATTAAGGTGTGGAGAAGTGCAAGGGAGGGAGTTGACACATGACAGATGTCTGATTGTAAAAATGTTTTTAATTTGGAATAAAAATCAACCTGTTTTAGCATTTTCTTAAAATCCAATGATTTATGCTGAAAAACAGGATGAAACTGTTTTAAGTGACCCACTCTGTATATCAAAAATGGCTAGATATATCGAGTTAGTTCATAGAACAAAATCTGCCTTAAAATGCATTTTTCACAATATGCGCTACACAAGAAAGATCTTCCCATCGAAAAAAAAATATTGAGCGCAGCACCATCTACACATTGACCTATTTAAAATCATTTTATATCTAAAACTAAAGCTCTCTCAGTGCTCTGTGAACTGGCTTTTACAGAATTAAAATATCTCTATTACTTACCAAAATATCCGGCCTGGGGTTATTATTGGTACACCCTGTATAAAAGTCATCCGATTGGAGTAGACTTTGAAAAAAAAAAAGGGAAAGAGCAAACAATTATTCGCTGATGGCCCCAGTATTTGGTAAAAAATCGTTTTATAGATTTATTTTTATACGAAGGATTTATTTTAAACTCAATTTTATTTCTTGTATTGCTTTTTTTCGAGTCATTCGAAGATATTAGAATAATAATTTTTAATTCACGATCTTATACAAAAAAGAAAACCATTTTTTTATTATTTGGAAGAAATGAAAATTTAGCAACATTGCCATATGTAATTTGAACCTTAGATTAATAAAAAAAATCAAAATTAAAACTTTATAAATAAAAGGGATAACATACCCCTGGTCTCATTGTCACCCGGTATTGGTACATAGATTTCAGGCATTTATAGAATTTTTGTAATAGTCATGTCCAGTGAATAGTAATAAAAAAAAATTTTCACATTTTTACAAGTACAATAATTGATAGTTTAATTTTTTTAAACATCCCCCATGTTTTTGTAGTTAAAAAAAATCTATATTAATAATAGAATTTAATAAGATAATCTAGGTTGAAGGTTGAATAACCCACCGTAACGTTTTGGCAGAAATTACTTCACTCGTATATTTAAAAATACACGAGCAAATAACATACTATTTTCCAATTAAAAGGTGTTAGATACAACTATTTTTAAATTGAAATAGATAAACAAAAAACAAATCATTGACCCAGCAACGAAGAATTAAATTAATTGAAAGTATAATTAGTTCTTGAATTCCACTTTTTTCTTTGTTGTGCTGTTCATAATGTCTTAGAACTTGAAATTATATTTAGCTCAACGTGCATTTGAAATGAATAGCTCGAAGTGACTCAAATAATTCAAAATAAGACGGTATTATCTATTTTTAAATCCAGTAGTATCACTTTCAACATATTTCTTTTATTATTTTATTATTTGGGTAGGTATATGAGATGCTCTTCTGAGTAATTTTTTTTTTTATAAATTTTAGCATTACAACCTGCTGAAGCGCCGCAATTTATATCGCCTTTGTCAAATGTAATGGCCAGAGCGGGACAGAAAATAAAATTAGAATGTGAAATTTCTGGACTGCCCACTCCAAGTTTAACTTGGTCACACAACGGCAAGCCAGTTAAAGAAACACGCGAAATTAAGGTAAGAATATTCAAAATTTATATTTATTGAGCTTTACTTTTAATATTATTATCTACAAATAACATAAAAAGACATTTTGATCAATTTATTTTAATTACTCCCTTGACCACATTACAAATTTATATAATTTTTTTTTGGCAAACTATGTGAGACTGCATTTGCAAATATAATTAGTGTAGTTTATTTATAAAGAATCCTTGATGATATTTCAATATTCATTTCTTGTTTTCATAAGTAGTTTTGTAAAGCTAGTCGTGTATTTTTCAGCTCCAACACGAAGGTAACAGGGGAACGTTACTAGTGTTAGAAGCCTTTCCCAAAGATGCTGGCACTTACTCTGTAAGTGCGAAGAATATCGCAGGTGAGGCAACTAGTTCTTGCAGTGTATCCGTAAAAGGCCGTCTCCCTACAGAAACCTCAGATTCAGAAATAGCTAGCGACATGGAACCTATCAAACCATCGATTCAGCTCCCACTTTCCAACACAACTAGCAAAGAAGGTACCAGGGTACGTTTAGATTGCGTGATCGTTGGCCAGCCAGAACCCGAAGTTATATGGTATCACGATGAAAGGCCGGTAAAAGAGTCACACGATTTTCAACTACTATTCCAAGGTGACAGGTGCTCCTTAATAATCCAGGAAGTAATGCCCGAAGACGGTGGCGAATACAAGGTCGTTGCCCTAAATTCAGCTGGTGAGGCATCTAGCAGATGTATATTAAGTGTTACTCCAATTACGGAATCAGACACCGAAAGTAAGCCAAAAGAAGAAAAAACCGAACAAACTGGAACAGCGCCAAAATTCTCAAAACTTTTAACAGACGTTTTAGTTTCGGAAGGGGACAAAGTTATTTTAGAAGGAAACGTAGTCGGGGAGCCGAGACCGGAGATTAAGTGGCTGCTTAATAATTTACCAATAACCGACACAAACCACTTTGTTGTTACATATAACGATGATGGAAATGTTAAACTGGAAATCGGAAACGTCAAACCTGAAGACAAAGGCGTGTACACAGTTAAAGCAACAAATTCACTGGGAGAAGCCAAGTGTTTCGCACAGTTAATTGTTAAATCCTTCAAACCAACCGAAACAGTCCAACATGAAGAAGTTAAACAAGCACCCGAGTTTAAAGAAGGCTTTAGAGATCGAACTGTTTTTGAAGAAACACCGACAAAATTCGAGTGCATCGTCATGGGCAAACCAACGCCCAAAATAAAATGGCTATTCAACGATGAACCTATATCAGGAAAAGACTTTTTAATATCTACATCTGGCGATCGCCAAGTTTTATCCATTCCAAATGTCAAAAAAGATCATTCCGGTACAATAACTTGCATTGCTGAAAACGAAGCTGGCAAAGCAAGTTGTTCAGCGCAACTAATGGTTGAATCATCTAGTTCTATCGCTCTACAAGACAACGAACTCCAACTCCAACCTCACCTTCCATTAACGACTGAGAAAACTCAGCATCTTGAAAGCTCTTATAAATCCAGTAGAGAAGTAGTTACTCAATCACAAACGTCACATACTAGTAAAGTAATATCGTCTACTACGGGTATGGCTCAACCTCATGTTGAAGAACATAGGATAACCTCAGAAAATGCTCAAACGTTTAAGCAACTTAACCAAGGCGCTCCAGAAATCAAGGAGAGCCATAGGATTGAAGAATATCACAAGGTAGGTGATAATGCTCCTGTGATCCATGAAAAGTCTTCCTCAACATATACAGTCAATTCCCAACAAGCTGACAAACAAATCATGTCATCTCAAGAAATTGTTCAAAAGCCATCGCGAATTAGACCTCCTAAGTTCGTTAGTCCTATTGTTGGCAAGATAGTTGATCAATACGTTGATGTGATACTAGAAGGAATATTAGACGGTCAACCCAGTCCCCAAATTAAATGGACTAAAAATGGCGAAGAGATTAAAGAAGATAAGAGAACAACGTTGAAATGGGAATTAAATCGAACTGCTTTAGAAATAAAAAGTGTTAAAGTTCAAGATGCTGGAAGATATTCATGTACAGCTGTAAACGAAGGTGGTACCGCTGTAAGCACTGCGGATTTAGTTGTTAGAAGTAAGTTATATTTATTATATTAAATTCTGTTACAGATATGGAAAGAGTGGGGGGGGATTGGTGGCCGCCTAAGCATTTTTGTTTATTTATACTGTTACATGACTTTAGATTTTTATAATACTAACGTAAATAAAACTTCAAACCTTAATAATTCAAACTGTATTTACGAAATATTTTTAAACAGAAGAAATCAAAGATTTTTTCCGACTACTATATGTGGCCATATTTACCCGCGGTCGAGGGTTAAAAGTGGCCACTGCCAGTATTATTCCCATTTAAAAATAATTATAAATGTACATTGCCTTTGAAATTGGTGCAGTATTTGTGCGCCCATAGGCGACAAATGCTAAATTGGATCCACAGTTCTCTATTTTGACCAAATTCGCCACAAATTGCGCATGTATCTTCATCAACGTCACTATCACGATCATCCTTATCTTCATGATGATCCTCGTCTTTAGTTAATGTATTTTCTGCGATCTTCTGTGTTCTTAAGCAATTTCTTTGTGGTACTATTCGAGGTGTACTAAATTTTGACTCTTCGATGTCAGTTTTTCGTTTTATTCCTTTGTTGACTTTATTTCTTATTTGTTCTTCCTTCTTCCGCTGTTTTACTACTATAAGTAACTTCATTGGTCTTGATGTCATTATTTCTGAATGTTGCTTCCTGCTGCTACTGTGGTTGGATCTTCTCTTTCCAAATGAGGCATCTTTTGAGCATTCTTGTAGTGGAATTATGTCAACAAACGATAATTCAAACTTTTTATCAGGTATTGAATTTGTTTTATTCCCCTTTTATCTTCCTTATTATTATTCTCCTTATCCAATTCATTTCCCTTCTCTTGCTGCACTAAAAGTTGTTCAGCATTCCATCGTGCTATGTCACTTTTCTTTTTGTAAACGCCCTCTGGAGGAAACTTGTAGTAGGTCCCTATAAGTAGGATATCGTTCAGTGTTGCCAGAAGTAGCAAAATTTCGCTACGTCGTCGGATCTTAGCTCTTGAAGAAGTGGATAAGACCTTTTATTTAAAAATCAAAATTTGTGTCTAGTAATATGTAATCATACTTCATATTTATTTAAGGATTTTTCTATAAAACCGATTTATTATATTGTTTTTTTTTTAAATTTGAGTTCATTTATTAATTTTGTTTTAAAATCAGTTCATCATTTGGCAACATTGGCGTTCGTGTTTATTGTTTACATTTTAATTTGTATCAATTACAATTCGAGTTTTTTTTACTTTTTAGCTTTAAATTTGTTTATTTCTTATAGTATGTGATAGTGTTTATATTACAAATGAAATCTGCGAAAAAGTCCCCAGCAAATTGCAATCTATATGGTGTTAATGTCAAAATTAAAACTGAAGTATTCATTATTTTCCAAGTGCAAGTCGTAAAATTTTGTTTCTTATGATAAAAGGATATCTACAAATTCACAATATTGAAATTTTGCAATGTTCTTGTAGCAACCAATAGGTGAATATTTCCAACAAATTAAGTCATTCACATGATATTATATTTTTGACGAAAGCACGAGAAATAAACTTAAATTAACACTAAATGAAACTTAAAAACACTATTACAATGAGAATATTACCTAAAAATAGTTAAAAAAATCACAAATACAAAATCCGCCCAAAACAAACACATGTAAATAAACAAACATCCTACTTATAGGTGACAAATGACAGGCGCGCGAAAATTAATTTGAATCGCGAATTATAACTCCAAAATACATATTTATACCCTTTGACTAATAGTCATTAATCACTTAAATTAAAGCAACAACTTCTTACGTAGGCTTAAACTACATTAAAAATGCAACATGCGTATCATTTATGTAACTAAATAAACTTAATTACATGCTTCTTCATACTTTTAAAAATCTGACATTGATACATCAACACCAACAAAATCTGACATTGTTAAAAATTCCTACTTTACCGGCACAACATCGTAATTGCTTTGGGTATATTATATGGACTACACACAGATAGATGGCGTAACCAGGTATTAAACGTAAAATTAGGTCGTAATTGTAAATATTTGAAGGCTACCATTACCCCAGCGGCCACCTTTCTGCCCTCAACCCTATTTTATAAATATATTTTATTAGCATTATAAAATATGTCAGTGTTAAGAACAATTTATTAACCGAGGCGAAGCCGAAGTATGAACGCGAGCTTCAAAAAATGATTTTCGAAGCAAAAAAATACCACAGTAATCTGTGACAATACACTGATAGTTCTGAATAATGAACAATAAAACTTCAAGTAAACAACTGACATCTGATCCAAATGTAAATTGTTTTAAATTTTATATAATTTTTATGGTAGTATGGTAGTAAAGTACACTTATTTATGCCAATCCTGGAAACATTTTCTTTCACAAATGGGTGGCTTGTCGACGCAATCCCGACACTGCCAAGCAGTTTCTTTTCTTTTTTTATCATATAACAATGCTTACAACGCTTAGAATATTTCCCCCGTTTTTTAGAATCTTCTGGTATAGGGATGGCCTCAAGAACATGACCAGCATTCTTCCTAGATTTTTTAGACGGCATGAATTTAGTTCGTTTTGGTACAGTTTTAACAAATTCCCCGCCATCTTTTTGATCAGGAGAAATTTCGAGCACTAGAATATGAAGAATTACTTTAAGTGTATTCAGGATCATCTATAGAATCGTCGGTACTATATGGATCGTGTGCGTTTTTAGCATCCGATTCTGACCCTTCAACCTTCGTGTCAAGCTCATCATACCACCTAAGTAGTTGTTGTTCTTGCTCTTTGTCCATTTTAGGTACGTACTAAGCCAAGTATTTAGCACACACAGTCCCTAACAATGCGTAATCTGAACTAAATGCGCCAAAACTTTGTCTATCGCCGAACCAAATTTTTCCCCCCACCAATGACATTTCGCAAACAATATTTATCATATTCGCTCCGTGCGAAGTCATGGAAAGGGAAGCAAAAGCGATACTAGCGCTAGCTGCGGATAATTCGTGCATTTTAGGGGGATATTTTGAAATTTTGGCATATCAAATACACGTATACATTTTACTTTTTTCAAAAAAAAGTAGGTAAAAACAATACGTTAAGCAACCGGAGTTGCTGTGTTGAAAATTGAACAAATACTAGCAAAAAAAACAGTGAAACTTATATAAAAAATTTCAGTAGCAAAGTGGAAATTAAATCAAAAAAATAAATGGATATACAATAAGAAGAAAAATTACCTTTATTTTTGTAATAATAACCGTAATGCTGCAAATAGTAGACTTCAGAAACTTGAAAGGTTTTAAATCAACAATAAATTATCATTTTACCATGTTCTTTTATATCCCTTATTCTTAAATGTTCATTCAGCAAGGACTAGATTTCAAGATGTCTGCCTTTGATTATTATATGTGGTTGGACCCGCAATTTTGTAACTTACTGATGGGAAATCAGTTTTAATCATTCATTCTATGTTTTCTTTCGAACAAAAATGAAAATATAAGTAATGATCCTTTTTTTATACATTTTAACTTCACGCTATTATTAAATGGATTTTTTTTATTTTGACAGATTAGAGTAATTCTTCAATGAAAACTTAGGCAACTTCTCATACAATTTCCAGTAAATACTGTTGCCTGCCTATATTTTATTATTCATTTTTATCGATTATACATAATTTTCTTTAATTTAAGCGATAAAAATATATAATAATAATAAATTAATGTTTTACTTGTTTTACAAATCCATATACTTTTATTAAAACTACCATATATACTTTTTAATTACGAATTCTATTAAAAGTTGCATTTGTCAGTGTATGCAGAAATAGTCCATTAGTATCAAAACGAATTGGCGCTGCTGTCGCGCACGGAGCGAATAGGTGTCTTGTGGGACACTTTTCATAGTTCTATATACAAAATTGACGTTATATCGCGCAAAATGTATCTATAGCGTATTAAGCCTTTGACGGCAGTTGCCGTCAGTGTCCCTACTGAGATAATATATGTTGCGGCTTATGCCGCTTCTGTCCAATTATACACATACCATAAAATATGTGTGTCCGCGAATGTGTTAATTACAAATTTCTAACGAGCCATAACGGTTTCCCAGTTGCATGTGGGAAACTGTTAAAAAGTCGTCAACGGCCCATCGAATAATTAAAGTTAAACGGCAGTCAATTAAAAATTTTAAACGCGCCATAACGATTTTGCAATTGAATGTGGGAAACAGTTAACAAACCATCAACGGCTTATCAAAAAATTAAAGTAACAGGCAGTTAATTACAAATATCAAAAGGACCTTAACGAGTGTACCGTTACAAGTTATGCCTTAACATTTGTTAAAGGGCCAACAGCATGCCACAATTTTAATGTTTGTTGAGCAGTTTAATAAGGGCATTAGTTGAATAATGGTTAATGAATTAATGATTTGATGAGTTTGTGTTCATTAGATTAAACCAAAGCCGTAAAAACTTCTGAAAGTCTTATTACAACCACAATTATTTTTCAAAAGTTCATCGAATCCGTTAAAAGCTTGGTACAGTTCCTGTAAGTTTCCGAATTTTTATATTCCTGTGCAAAGCCGACTTCATTTTTGCGAATTCAATGTTTAGTAATGATATAAATGTTTTCTTTTTCAAGTCATTTTCATAATTTTTAAAATAAACATTTTTAGAAGGTTTACAAATAAATTCAAGATTTTTTCACCCTATCTTCCTCCTATTTGTTAACATTGGTGTTTTCTGAAAATTTCACAAAAATCGGACTAAAAATAAAGGTTCAGAAGGAATTATAATTTTTCAAGGTAATCGGTTGCTGAAATTAAGTGGCAACTTAAATATCACAGACATTTCGTTAGTACAATTTTTAAAATAAATTATTTATATCATTTTAGAAACGATCTTCCCTCCTGTATTCGGCCGTCGCCTGCAAGCCCAAGTTATAAAAAAAGGAGATCGCATAATCATGGACGTTGAAATTACTGGAACACCAGAACCAACTGTAACTTGGTATAAAGATGGGAATCTGATAGATAACCGTATGAAGAATATTTATAGAATTAAATCCTTAGGACAAGGCCACACTTTGACCATAGACAAAGGTACCTATTGTAATAATGAAAATATAATACAATTTCTAGTAAATATTTGATTTAATTATTTTTTTTGTTTCAAAATATTTCTTTTATGTAGTTTTTGTTGTATTGGATAAGAAAAATATTGACAAGCGGTGTGCAATAATGAAAATACAAATAATATTAATTTGACGAAATGTTTACTTCAAAAACTAATTAAGATTTTATAAATAAAAAAAAAACAATTTATTATTTGTGCGACTTGTTTGTATTCCAATATAAACTAGCTGTAAAAAAAAAACAAAAATCGTTTAAATGAAAATTTTTTGAATCCAGATCTGTCTTGGCCAGATAATCGCAACCTATATGTGCACGAAGTTTCCTTCGTGAAATTTTTCTTCTCCAATCATTTACTAGAACTATTATATTTAAAATTTACTTGTATTTTTAAGTCTGAATAAAAATGTGTCTTGTTATAGCTGAGATAAATCATTCTGGCCGCTACATGGTACGAGCTACCAACGCTGGTGGAGAAGCGCAAAGTATAGCTGATATTGCAGTTATTGAACCAGCGCCCGACAGTATGGTAGAGGTTGTAAAGTCAGTTGTCTTCGAAGACGTGAGAAAACACGAAACACTGGTAAGAATCTTTTATCAAAAAAAAATATTTCTGATGTTTTTGAAACCTTGATTCTTAATATTATTTTCCTCTTGTGAAATACAGACTTCAGCTGCCGACAAGATTTCTTCTGTTACTGAACCAAAAGCAGTTGTACCAGTCACACAGATCGTAACTCCTTCTCATATAGTTTCAAGCGAATTGTCTCAGAGCGTAACTTCTAAGTCAGAAATAACATCAACCAAAGAAGAATCATTGTCTGAAGAAAAACGTGTTATCAAGCTTGAACACAAAATGCCAGATATCCCTATGCCGAAACCAATCGTTCCAAAAAGTGATTTAGAAAAACAAACCGATTTTGAGATTATTAAACCTTCTGATTTACAAACAGAAATATACGAAGAAAAGAAAGTTGATGTCCAAGAAGGTATTGAGACAAGTTCAATTTCAAAACAGTCATCTCTTCAATACTTCGTTAAAAAAATTAAAGAAGGTGATGCTCCTGTACAGAAAGAAATTACAATTCCAGAAACAATTAAGCCAGTTATATACGAGAAATTTGAACAGAAAGTTCCACCACCACTTCCTCCTAAACCTGAGCCATTGATACAAGAATATCATTCTTTTAAGTCCTCTCAGTCAGTTATACCACCTCAAGAACATTTCCAGTCATTTTCTACAACTCAAATTACACAAGATTTTCAATTACAACCTGAACCACCAGCAGAAATTTGTTACGCCCCACAGCCGCCACCGTCATACAAGAAACACGAAGATGTTTCTCAAAGGATCAAAAGAATTTCTGAAAGCCAAAAAGAGTTATCGCCCCATGAAGTACCAACTGGAGCAATAAAAATATTCCCATCAGCTCAGAAAACTGTTAGTGAACAAAAAACTGAACAGTCTTATCAGTCTTCGTTCCAAACATCCTCTTCATCTTACAGTCGTACTTTTGAAAGTAGCTCTACAAAAACACCAACTGAATTTGAGAGACCAAAATCTACAACTTCTAGTTATTCAGTAGATAGACAGTTAATCGGTAGACCACTTTCAGCTCAGGGCGAACCTTCTCAAGAGGGATTAATTATGGAAAAACAGTGGGCCCACAAATTTTCTGAGATCCAACAAGATAAATCTTGGCCACCGCAGCAGCAGGAAGAGCCTAAATATCAACCTACTTGGTCTGTCCAAAGTACATTAGAAAAAAAATGGACCCCAGTAGTTTCAAAACCTGAAATTCCAAAACAACACTACATTGCAGAAGTTAGTAACTTAGAAAGTGTCATCGATCATCACAAAGACTCATCTTTCTCCCAAAGCAAATCGGAGTATATAATTGAAGAAAGGAACGCAAAGCCATCTGAAATTATTAAATCGTGGCCTCCACCACCTCTTGAGACTAAACCATATACCTCGATAGATACATTGCCTATTAGACCAGTTTCTGTTCAGGATATAACCGATGAGGTATATTTGGAACCTGGCCCTCCACCTGAGATTGCTTATGCTCCCTCTTATCAGCCCAAATCCCCCCAACCAAAAGAATGGGTTGCTCCACCACCAAAAGAATTGCCAAGGGAATGGGTAACACCACCTCAACCGAAACAATGGGTACCTTCACCTTCAAAAGAATATGTAGCACCGCCACCCTTGCCTCCAAAACAGGTAATACCTCAAGCTCCTCCCATACCTGCGAAATCTCTTAAGCATGCTGAGCCGCCAAAGAAAATCTTGCTTTCTGAATTTACACCTTTTGAAAAATTCCCTGACTTAGAGCCATTCCCTTTCAAACCCCACCCTCAAAGGCCTAAACCTCCAAAGACGGGACCTCCGCCTACTCCTTCCAGGTTCATAAAGGGTAAATTCACCGACAGCGATTACGAGAGCGATTTCGAAAATGTTAGGATTGCGCCGAAATGGAGACCAAGCATGAGCGATACAGAAGAACCGTCTTATAGAAGAGTTTTAGCTCCAAAAACCGTTCGCTTTGCTAGATCCCGATCTCAAGAGCATGAAGTTTTACCTCCCTCTAAGTTTGATTGCCCTCCCCAATTTGACGGCCCTCCTCGACCGGAGATAAACTTCCAAGAGTTTCAGAAATCCAAAGAAATTAAGAAACTGACCAAGCATGCTAGAGACATGAAGAGATCAGCAATACAAGCTCCTGCAACGCCCGTTTATGTCCCGCCGAAAAAACCTGATTCGCCACCAAAATTTAAACAGAGAACTGTCATTGACGGTTACATGGCTGATACGGAATATAGTAAAGAAGAGTATAAAAAGTTTTCAAAAACTAGTGAATATACGGAAAGTCAAAAAGTTATTACAACGAAACCACGTGTATGTAAATTTCCCGATAAGAAGACCCAGACTGAGCAGAAGGTTCGCTACATTTTTTTGAGTGAAGTAATATGTGTTTCCCTCACTAATGCTATTTTGTTCCCTGCATGCATTTTTTAGTATTTTTTCCCTATTTTTAATACTGTATTTTTTATTTTTTTTTTCAGTATTTAGTTTAGTCTTTTTGATGTAACTAATTCGATGTACATCCCTTACTACACACATCTTTTACAAATAAGTAATATATTGTACAAATCTCATTCATATTCTTATAAAATTCTACTGATAATTACATAAATCTATATCTCAGATATTTAAAAAAATTACCAGAAAACACTTATTTACATTACAAAAAATTGTACTGTTTTTTCGATTCCAGGCTTCTAGATAAAACTGTTTGACCTACGCATTAAGTCAGGTCACTTTTTAATAATATATTGTTACGCTGGTTCTTGGTAAACTCAACTTATTTCCAAACTCAACCTTTTACACTACAACTATTAACATTAAGGTACAACGGCTATCATAAAACTGAACTGTGACGTCAAAATCGTCGCCTTATATGGTGCGTTTGATTTGATCATTGGAGATCTCCAAGCGCTGCATACGTGTTTGAATTGACACTCTGAGCGATCCCAAAAGTGTTTGTTTCGCTTTGGAGTGCGAACACTGAGCGAGCTCGACGTATGTAGGGCAAATGCGTCCGGACGTTGTCTAAATTCTAAAAAGCGTTCCTAAATATGGAACGTTTTATCTGGACGAATTACCCCAGCCGTTCTATTTAAAAGAAAAACGCGTCGGGATGAAGAAATTTTATCCACCGTGTTGAGTACGGTAATTTTTACTCGACTTGCGCAGTATGTCATAACCCTAATTAACCTAAGATAACCATCTAGTATTTAATTTTCTATTTTTACTTTTTGAGTAAAAAATATTTAAATATGAGTATGAGTGAGAGAATTAATTCCATCAATTATCGTGTAGTTGTTGGGAACGATGTTGGGAACGATGGTAATTTCATTATAGAAAATGATAAAATTTTAAAACACAGAATTAAAGGTGATGAATTTAGATAAAAAAGTCTATGTGGACGTCAATGATGTTACATATTTACTAATTTTTGATAATTCCTACAATCCCAGATAACAGAAAAGACATAACCAAAAACTTCATTTGACAATACTTTACACTTATCGTTCCTATTTATCGGGCAAAAATAAACGTTCCGACGAATTTTGTCCGGACGATTGAAAATTTGACGCTCTCCATTTCTGAACGCACCCCAGTGGGATCGAGACGATGGAGAAATGTGTCTTTGTTTCTACTCACTTTTTTTTTAATTAACCTAAACTCAGTATTCGAGACTAGTCAATTGTGCAGTCAACAAATTATTTATTCGCTTTTGTCTAATAACTAAAATTATTTATCATACAAAAATTAAATGTGTTCGAAAAATACAATTTTCACTGCTCAGATCTAATTACCAATAATCACAGCATGGAGTCTAAAAGCGAAGCGGGCATGAAGGGAATTTTAGGGCCACGGTCCCTTATTATTAAAAGTTTTTCCATTTTCTTCCCTTTTTGCTCACTGTTTTAACACAGATATAAGAATCACAAAAATTCCCTCCCTTGATTTTCTCTAAACTTCCAGTTGTTCCTAGACACGAAATAACATTTCTAGACTGTTCGCTCTTCTTTTTTTATTTCCACTTTTTCTTGTAACAACCGCAGCACACTGTAGGGTGATGTTTGACATTGCATTGACAGTTATTTGACTACATAAGAGGACAAGACAGATAGTTGTTATTCTCGGACAGAACTATGTGATTACAGTATACAAAATTAGGTATCACTTTATTATCATTCATCTTTTAATTTTATCAATATAATGATATTTTGTTATATTATCTTTTAATTTTATCAATATAATGATATTTTGTTATATTTCAGTTTTATCTAAGAACATTTCTTGAGTTCTTAAAAAGTGTTCTGTATATAAATTTAATCCAAGTATTTTTAAAGGCAGGAAAGATTATCCAAAACCAAAAATTCAATAACAAAAAATATCGAAATTATAAAAAGTGTCGACAATAAAAGTATTGGAAAGACGAAAATATCGAAAAGACGAAAATGTCGAAAAGACGAAAATGTCGAAAAAACGAAAATGTCGAAAAATTAAGGAATTTGATATTTAGTGGCTTCAACATTTTCTCTATCCATATTTTATCATTTAGATGAATTGAAAACCTATTTTCGATATTATGTAATTTTTACGGCCAACCATTTTTTAAATGAACATTAATTAATATATCTGAGAAAAGACATCACTGTAAATATATTATTTATAAACATAAATCACAGCTTTACATAATTTGTGTTTTGAATACACATTAACTCTACGTCCCACCATATAAACGTTGTTTGCACCTAAACCTCCACAATGATATTATCACATACTAAAATAGTTTTTATTCACAGGAACTGGTAACAACACCCATAGTTACAAACCGTATATCTCAAAAATTCTACGAGCAACAAGATAAACACGTCAAACTGGATTCTTTCCCCTTCAAACCTGACCAACGCCCAATTCAACAGAAAATGAAAGTTCCACCTCCACCGAGTCCATCGAAATTCGCTAAAGGTGAGTTTCGAGAAAGCGACTTCGAGAGCGACTACGAGGGAAGAATTCCCCCAGTATGGGGAGCCAACAGGGAATCTTCGTACAAACCCGTCCATCCTATATTAACACCAACTAAACAGCATGGTTACCAATACGGAAGAACCCCAACACCCCCGACTGAATTTGAACGTCCTCCCCAAGATTTCGGTTCATCTAGACCCAAATTTGAACCAATTAAGCCCGAAGTGAAACCCGTCCAGAAGAATGTTGTGTATAAACCCAAACCCATATCTGGTGATTTAATTTTGAAACCTGGTAGTCCCCCTGAAATTGTTTATGCTCCTGGACCAAAGAAGACTCAGTATTACAGATCTACAGTGAGCGCTCCTTACACCAATGCAGTCCAACATGAAACATCTAATGTAGTTCACTTTAATGAGTCTTCAGAAAACTGCCATCGTACAATGAGCATGCAGCAAACGCATAAAGTTATAAAATTCGGTGATAAATACAGAAAGGAAGCTAAACTAGAACCGTTCCCTTATCAACCTGAACATGGACAACCTAGAAGATCTACAAGTGTACCTCCACCTCCAACTCCTAGTAAATTTATACCAGGAGATTTTAGAGAGAGCGATTATGAAAGTGAAGTAGAAAATACTAGGATCAAAGCAAAGTGGTCGCCTCGCGGAGGTGATGATGGTCTTCAATATAGAAAGGTGAAAGCTCCAACGCCTAGTAGATCATCCAGTGTACCAGCACCTAGGGACCGAGTACTGACACCAATGGAATTCGATTCGTCTCCAGTAACAACAATACAAAGAGATTACGTTGATGGTGATAGCAGAAGACATCAGTCAATCTACAGACAGTTTACTGAAAATAAAAGTAACCAATTAGTCAAACGAAGCCACTCTTATGAGCCCGCTATTCAACCTGGTAGTCCACCTGAATACGGATACACCGGTGATAATAGAATATTAAAATCTACAGCTACTAAAATAGCTTCTGATCATATGGACAGCATGACACATGCTTTTAAATCTAAGACGCAAAGATTTGTAACTGATCTTATGAGCGACGTTGGCAAGAAGCAAGCTTTAAAACCAGCCTTAAAGAATGGATCTGATGGAGATGCGCAGGTATATAGGGAGGAATCAAGAGCTGCCCAATATGGTAAGATCGATTGAGACATAAAGCAAAGCTTAATAAATCATAGGAAAACTTTTCGATTTTTGTTAAAAACCTACTATGGCGAAAATAATTTTTTTCAGCACTAAATTTACGTGGGATATATTATTTATTTTCTTTCTTTTTCTTACTCGAAATACCATGTATTTTATTCTACCTTCCCTCATTTATGCTCTTTCTGTTTCTGTTGCAAATAATACCCTTTGTCTTGTAGAGCTATCCGATTGTAATTATTTTTTCAGTACTCCATTTTTAATCATTAAATTTTCTGGTAGGTAATAATGTAATTTTTAGTATTTTTCGCCAGTGCATTTGTAAATATTTTATTTGTATATTTGATTAAGATTAATAGATATCCAGTTATTTGACAAAAAATTTGATTTTGCTGACTACTAACATTGATAAATTCTACTACAAGAAATTATTTTACTGTTAAAATACTGGATATTAAAATTGATATCGGAGAAGTTTTCCTGAATCGCTAGCAGCTCAGAACCTGACATTGCTTAATTTAATTAAAAGGTAAAGATGCATGAATTCTCACAGTGGTCTGCTCAGAGATGGTCCAATAAAACAATCACCCGTTTCTCTTTGCAAGGTATACAGAGTTTTGTACCCAAAATATTTCTGTTTTTATGATCTTAATTTCAAAATTCAATCAATCTAATAAATAAAAAAAAATATAATTAAATAGAACATCCCAAAAAAAATAATTTTTTAATTTGTTTCGAGTGTTTTTTATTTTTTTTTTCACAATATTTATTAAAATTTTGAAGGTACAGGATATGTGACAAAAACGCATCACCCAATTAAAGGATATACAGTACTTATTTTTTCGTGTTAGGCATTCGACTATAAGTTAACAAAACGGCAACAGGGCAACAGCTGGTCGTCAACTACAATTATAAGATATGGTGGTGGGATATTAGACGAACCGAATCATAGCGATAGCGGGGATATCGTAGTTGCCACATGTTAGCTGTGAAAGCACAGCTATGTCTAATACAAAATAATAAGTACTGTATTTTTAAGTTAACATACAACAAGTTATTGAATTTTTCTGAGTTATAACAGTATTAATTTATTTTTTAATTATTTCATGTACATTTTTTCAAACTTGTATCTAAATATTTTTAAGTTACTGTAAGTTTATTCGGAAATAAGCAGAATACATAAGGTATTTAATTGTCCGTTCTTATGTCCGTACATTGAGAATATCTGTACAATAATTACAAGTGCCGTCCATCAATACAGATTCAAAATGACACATGGGAAGGGCCTTAGTAATTTGGAAATTATCCAAGATAAGAGTGGTAGACCTGATAACTAATTCATAATTGCATATTAAAACATAATATTATACTTCTTGCATCCCTATTTACAGTAATTTACACTAATTGCCCCATTTATGTTTAATTAGGCATCTAAATTTAGAAGAGAAAATTTTACAAATTTACAAGAATTAAGTCATTACATACATTTTATGAAATTATAAAAATGTCGTAATTATATTCCCTAGTAAATCCAGGAACATAAATTTCCAAAATATGTGTGAATTTGAAACCGTCGGATAAGACAAAGCCAACTGAACAAAAATACAATAGGTAAATAACCACTGAAACTATCTAGGTAGGGGAAAGGGTAGTACTTTCGGCTACTTATCCCAATAAATTACATAATTTAAAAAAATAGTGATCAATTGAAAAACTGGTATATCCAAAAGTTAACTGGCACAGTTTTCCAGAGTGAAAATCCTATATCTTATCAGATATTTTTTTAATGAATTAAAAAAAACACCTGCAAATGGGTGTAAATACCCCACCAGTGAAGTAGTTTCGGCCATCAAGTGGGGTACATTCATCCAATGAAAATTGAATAATACACAGACGAAAAATCAAATATTTTATTAGGCAAAAATGAATTTTATAAAAATGCAGTAGTTACAAAATTATAATTAAAAGTGACGTCCTTGCTGTTGACGGTTTATTTGCTTGTGACACCAATGTGATTATATCATTTTTATTCACACTGCTGATATCTTCTACCTGAGGATTTATAAATGTGTTTGATTTATTTTTTCGTCTTAAGAAGTTGATTTCATATTCTGTATCGTTTGTGTTCTTTAAAATGTGCCCAATATAATAGCAAATACTTACCTTTGTGGCAAATTTTACCATTACAAAATCTCCCACACTTAAATCTTTGCATTTCGGTAATTTGGCAAGAGAAGGCAATTCATCTGAACCAGACAAAAAACTTTCTCCATCAGAGGTGTCAACAAGTTCCATTGACGTGTCTGAATTACTTGAGCTTTTATCCAAAATTCTCTTTGGCGGTGGTTTATTTATTTTGTTTAGTTCTTCCTTCCTCTCTTTCTCTATTTCAATGGATTTTTTCATTAGCATTTCCGGGGTATCTGTATATATAAAAGATTTTGATGGAATTTTTCTCTTCCGTTTCTTTTTTTCATCTCCCTTAGGATAGGGTCTCAATTCTTCAAGTGATTTTGGAACATTGACCTCAAGTGTGGCTCTTTCAGAAAAAGAAGGTGTTATAACGAATTCCTTTTCTTTTGAAGATGGTGTTGTCTCGGATTCTATTTCTTCTAAGCTGATGTTATTATCATCATGACATTTAGTAGCTGGAGGAGGGGTGGTTTGTTCTCTTTCTTCTCGGTTGCAATTATTTTGTTTGGAAGTTGAAGGAATGGCAACAAATTCCACTTCACTAACTAGACTGTTGTTTTCATCATTGGAGTTCTCGGTCACTGTGCTCGGCATGAAATCTTCATCGTTAAATACAAGCCTATTAAGAGGCCAAATGCCTGGAGTTTCAAAGCCACATATGGTTTTTTTTACTGAACGAGCTGTCAAAAGCTTTACTGGCAAGCTGGGTTATTTGCTTGATGGTTATCATTTTCCCAGGATGGGTTAGCATGTAGTCATTAAAAGCAATATTTAGGCCCACTTTGAAAGGCCCATACACGGCAATATCCAGGGGTTGAAGACGATGTGTAGTATGTGGGGGAAAAGATAAAAGTACTATGCCATTATTTCTGCAATACTGAATTGCGCCAAAGGATGTGTGCGATTCATGATTTTCGATCAATAATAATATTTTCTTCTCAACGGAACAATTTGTATGCTGAACAATGTGTTTAAGAACAAACATAAACAACTCTGCCGTCATCCAACCTGATTGATTTCCCAATGCAATACTGGAAATGGGAGCACCATCCAAAAAGTCATTCACATTTCTAAGGCGAGGATAAACAAACACGGGTGGAATTGTTCCTCCAGTGGCGCTGATTATACCAACAAAGGTGACCAATTCTCCTCATTCGGCGGAAGCTACTTGCCCAACGTGTTTTTTTTCCACGTGTGGAGACAACTTTTACCTGTTTCATCACCGTTTGTATGCCCGTTTCGTCCTAGTTATATATTTGCTGTGGTTTATATCTTTCTAAGACTCTGACATAATTAGAAAAAAATTCCTGTACTCTGTCTTTATTAAATGACATTGCCCTGTTGAGGCTGGTACTCTCCGGTTTTCTTAAAGATAACTGTTGATTTCTGGACATGAAGCCCTTAAGCCATTCAATTCCTACAATTCAAATTAATTTGGTAATAAGTAGTACAGACAGAAATAAAAATAAATTACTTACCTGCTAACTCATTTGTTTTCCAATTGACTGGTGTCCGACACCCTGGTAGCATTTGTGAATATTCGTAGGCCAATTTTCGTATTTGTTGATATGACAATCCGTAATTTAAATTAGATGACTTCTTAATATATTCCACAAGCTCCCTTTCCTGAGGTATTGTGAAAAGTTGTTTAACAGTGTATTAACTACTGTATTTATTTTCTTCATCACTGCTTTCATTTCCAGAATCTCTCTCAATGGTAGATAAGACTTCATCTACTGTTTTTTTATTTAACAAGGTTTTTATTCTTGACTTTAATGTAGATCTTTTCACTACATACCGCCTTGCAGCTTGATGGATACTCAACACTTTTCTTAAAGAATTACCAATAGCTTCCTTTATATTATTCTCGTCTATGTTCCGCCGGTTCATTTTGCAGACATATGTACGTGGCATCTGAAAAAATATAATATGAAATTGTCTAAAAATTTCAGTTAATAATATGTAATATTTCTTTGATGGGGGTACTTTCGGCCACCTGGCTGAATGTACCCCGACCACTTCAGCCGAATCTACCCCACATGACATTTGAGCATTGAAATTAAATTAAAAATAACAATCAATATTTGAGGTTAGATTTCGTATTGAAATCATTTATGAAGAATTACTAACTATATACTGTAATTTTTTTAATTTAATATACTTTATAAATTTGAAATTATGAACTCATAGTAGGTGAAAAAACTTACCTTTTAATAGTTAAAATTTCTTAAAAAAAAAAAATTGCTGCACACACAACTTGTGACACTTCTTATACATAATAAAACTGCATTACCAACATAAATATGCTGAAGTTTGGCGGTAGATATAAATGAGGGCGGTATAGGATAAGATGGACGAATCTACCCCATGGCCGAATCTACCACCTCTTCCCCTACGCATTATGAAAAGAAAACAGAAATATTTTAAAAATATTCGCCTTCCGGGAATGTTCTTTAAAATGCTTCATTAAACGGATAAATGAAGGTTTTTTTTAAACAAGTCTTTGATTAAAAATATTTCAATCATTCTTACAGTTCAATAAATAATGTGGAAATAGTTTGGTGAAAGGTTTTTTAGTAACGAATAACTATTTTAACAAACAATACTAAAATTAAAATAGCAACTCACATTCGTTGGTTAATTTACCGGAAGTACTTACATTGACATTGTTATAGACAGACGACAATACAGGTAGTCATCTTTATAAAACAAAAGTAACTAATTCAGACATGGTTGCCAACTATAATAGATACGGGTATTTTAACATTAACCAGAGATAAGGGAGATAAAGATAGGAAACGCCCATAAGAAGCCAATGCTTAACAACGACCAGCTTTTTCGCAGTTAACATCTGACTCACTATGTGGCGCTTTCATCGATATCAAACAACAGGATTTTTCCTGTGTTACTTACATAAATAGATCTTACCTACTTTGGTTAATTAAAGAACGCCACATTGGGGTTGTTAAATTTGTTCATGTGGCATGTGTTACTAATGCAATACGTTCTCTGACTTATTATATTACAAAATATAATTATTGTCCTCAAATTTCACACAAAAACAGCCACAAATATTTCGCTTAGTTCATCTAGAGGATAACACAATCATGAACTCAAAATTTAAAATTTAAATTCAGGATTCTTCGATATACATAAAACTAACTGACATTTATATTTACAAACTGTCCACTGCTGTCCACGTCTACTGCCTGTCTCAGTGTTGCCAACTGTACGATTTAGGTCGTATTAATACGATTTTTTAACTCTCTGTACGATGTACGATTGCATCAGTGATATCGTACGTAAAAATACAATCTTCACTTTTTTAGTAGAATTATTTAAATATCTGCAACAACTTCAGAACATAAAACAGTAAAAATCAAAAACTATTTGCAAAGATTCATAGACCGTTCGTAATTTCTGAAGGCAGTCATTTTCGTTCTGACTTATCGTGATTTTGACCATGGTGATTTTGTACACCGACTATCACGGCATAAGAAAAGCTTGCATGCAAAAGGTCTTTTCCTTTGCATCGAAAGTGTAGCACTGAGCTACACCACTTCTGAAAATATCGTTCCGTTTATACAAATTGTATGGATAGAACGATATTTTCAGAAGTGACGTAGATCAGCGCTACAATCATTGCGTTCGATCTGCCACGTTCTTCTAACTCCTTTAACACTGTTTACTCCAAACGACCCTTTTAGCGTTCGGTTAGTCCGATTAGTGACAGTTTAACATGTTTAAATGTCATTTAAAAGCACCTTAAAAAACTCCGCTTTTGTCCCGCTCCAGCCCCTGACTATCCGAACTCGCCTACTTTCGATGCAAAGGAAAAGACCTAAAATTTCAATCACTTTCAAGTGACAGTCATTGATTACTTTAAATGTGTTAATTTAAAGTTTTATGTAATTTCTTTGGTTTTTTTTTCTTGTATACATTTTTATAAATAGATAAATAAATTATCATGCCAAAGTTTTTTTTTAATTTTTTCATTCCATTTAAGTTATATTATGCTATGCATGTATCTATTGTACTATTTTGGCAACACTGGTCTCTATACAAACGATGTAGACCTGTAGTTAACATCTGAGACGCTAGATGACGCCATCGTTGCTGCGGTCGTCGCGTTTCCAATCTTTATGTCCCTAATCTCTGACATTAACTTCATTTATAGAAAACTGTAACTTTAAGATTATCCCATATTTAAACAATTTAGTTTAACCGTTTTCAATATCCCTATGTAGTTAATTTTAGGTAGTATACTAATACTACGTGATGCGTTTTTTGTCATTAAGTAATATTATTATTGTCTTTTTTTATTAATATGATCTAGACCATATCAGAGCACGCCACTGCATTCTCTATTATATCTTTATCCATCAGGAACGAAGCATGTAGATCCGGACACTGGTTTGATATACTTCAAATACGATTTTGGTTACGAATTTGGCATAATTCTCCCTGGCGAGGGTAAGCACGTGGGAGAAGTACCAGTGCCAAAGAAAACCATCATCGAACCACCAAAACGAACGAAGGATATTGAACTACCTGTTTATCATGAAAAATCAACCGCCCCCGATACTAATAACCATCACCCTTCTCCTCAATTTAAACCAAAAAAATTCGTACCGGCTGGTAAAACCAATAAGTGGGATCCGACCTCTGAGAGCGAGATGTCCGATTACGAGGGAAATACGAAAGTTAACAACCATTTGTTACAAGGTTCGAGATGGGAGCCTTCTTCATGTAGTCCTGCATCTCTGTCGCCTAGTTTACCTAGCACGTCTCCAGCTTTTAATAATACTTTTGCAGGTACTTGGTGTGCAATTTAATGATCTATGGGAAATTTATCGCATTAAAATATACAACTAAAATGACAATTCGAAATAGTATTGGCTATACATTTTCTTATTAATAATATCAAAATAAATGAACCAATATAATAGTAACACTTTTAAATAGCCTTCTTAGATTGTTAAACTGGTAAAAGTAATTTTTGGTCATATCCGTGAAAAGTTGTAGTCGATCTTGAAAAAACTTCTCTGGGCTACACACTCATAGGTTGTGTATCTACATGCTGAAGATATCTCGATGTAATACAAATGTGTGGTACGATGGTGCGACGGTGCCCTAATCTTTGGTGTGTACACTCTTATTTAAATTAGTACATTTGTTATTATATCGCCTATCGGTCATCAATTATCGGTCATGGAGGCATCTTCGGCATGTACACACCCTTATTTACATGCTGGTCTTAGTTTTCCTGGAGTTTACTTTCGAACGTGGTATTAATAAGTACAACTCTTTAACTGTATATTATGATTAATTAAAAAAAAGTGAAGGTCATTAATGATAATCTAATAGTCATATTCTAATTATTGTTATTTAGTCTACCAAAGTTTACCCGCATTACACTTCTAATTAAAAACTTAATGGGTTTATAAATGTTACAATTTTTTATTAATTATTGATACCCAGAATGTTTAAGTGTCTGGTCTTAAATACATTCTTAAACATTTATTAACAAATAATAATTGATTTATAATTTCAAAATCCATTAACACCATATAGACAATATATGTAGCTGTGGTCCTCATTAAATCATGGATTGGAACAAATAAATTTCCTATAGTTCATTCAGCACCTAATGCTTTTTAATAGATCTTTCAAATAAAAAGTCTAACAAAATCTGTAACCCATTATTATTATTTATTTTTTTTTTAATTCAACCTCATTTTGTTTACGTTGTCATACAATTATAATTAAATGATTAGTTTAAATATTTTTAAATTTTTAATTAATATTTATTTTTACTATTTTTTTGTGATACATTCATTTGAACTATTTTCATCAACTTTGTATCTATTTTTGTTTTTTCTTTTTTCTTATAAATGAACCCCAACCAATATTTTTCGAGGTTAAAAGTCAATGTATGTTTTTTTATTTTTTTACAAACTTTTTTTTATGAATTTCTTTTTCTTAATGGTCAGTTCGCACTATATGGAACATCAGCGTCACGTAACGGAACGGTAACGTCACGTCAAAATATTATTAAATAGGTATCTGATGATAACACTCACATACATAGGTAACGTCACATATCGTCACCGTCACAATTTATCAAAAACGTTAGTTTTGTTCAACTGGGGAAGTACTTTATAGAGGGTCGATTTTGTAATTTTTGGTATATTTATCTGTTACTTATGATTCGAGAAGAAAGTTTTTCGGATAAAAGTTTTTTGTTATATTATTTTTTATGCTTGACATAAAGTCTTTAAAATGGACCGTACGAAGATATTTGATGAAAAGTATAAATTCATTTTTTTTGTTTTGACCGAGATCTAACTTTAGTGTTGGGAGACATCAGATAATAACTGAAAAAGCAAAAAACAACCTATTTTAAAATTTTGATTGACCCAACTTCGAGGAGGTTTAGATGAAGAGATTGCTGCTGCTTTATGAGTCGCTGGCTTTTTTAGCTTGTTTCTTAATTTATTCCACATCCAAAATTATTATAATTATTATTTATGTTCTTTTTTTAATTTATTATATTGTGAAAATGGCAATGGTGACGTGACTTTAACGTTTCGTATACTGGTGAATAGACAGCAAAATTGACGTGATGTGATGTTACTATGCCGTTTCGTGACATTGACGTTCCCTATAGTGTGAATTGACTTTAATTGTACTTCTGTCCTTGTTTATGCCTTTAACTTTTTTTTTTATTTAAGACATGTTAGAAATTTTATTTTTATTTGCAGAAACTGTGAGCTTTTGGTGTTAAATATTTTTTTGTCTGATAATGACGTATTTACATTTTCAGGCAATTTTTGTTTATTTTTGGTAGTAGATGTACAAAGAAAATTAATGTAGTACCTATATAATAATATTTTCTAACCAAGAAATCTGTATTAAGAGAGTTTTTTAAAACGATGGATGACTACATTAATTTTCTAATTTTAGAATCTTTTTTTTTTATTTTTACTGAATATACGAAACATTTTATATGGCTTATTTAATTTTAGCTCCAGGAAGGCAGACGCCTCCAAGTTGTCCCAGCACTCCTGGAAGTACCTACAAGAATGTTGTAAATCCAGCACAAGCCCGTGCACCGATGTTTATAACGGTAAGAGGAAAAATATTAATAATTATTGTTAAATAGGAGCTGATTTAATTTTAATATTTTCCTGATATATCAAGGCTGTGAAATGTAATTAAAACCTTGTAAGTTTATTTTATTTATTTCTATATGTTGCCGCCTCTTTCTAGTTTCTTATTTGTTTTTCACAAATTCCTACATTTTGCATAACAGCTTCCGTTCATTTCCTGCTAGTCATTCCTTAATTTTCTTCACTTTCTTCTTTTACGTTGCATTGGCTTAAAATTAAGGCTGTCAATTCCTGACGTGATAAACTGTTAACCTGTTCGACTAATTTTGACCGGTTTCGGTTATAACCTAATTTTTACTATTATTATAGCCGGTCCGGATATCCGGTTAACCGATCCGTATATCCGGTCGGCCGGCCAGATTATCCGGTCAACCGGTCAGATTTTTTGGTTAACCGGTTCGATTATCCGGTTAACCGGTTTGATCAAACCAAAACTATTATTTTAAGAACAATTTCTACATATTTTTCAGCCTCTGCGTGATATCGCTGTAGTAAGTGGACAAGCTGCAAAATTCGAATGTATTGTCCAATCAGAACCGCAGCCCAACGTTCTTTGGTCTAAAAATGGTCGGATTATTGACAACTCACGTGATTACCAATTGCACTACAGAAATGGAGTCTGCAGATTAACGATTTCACAAGCTTATCCTGGTAAGTTTGAAAATAAAAACGCATAATTATTAGCAATTAAGTATTTTAATTTGCAGTTCAATAAACGACCGCTATTAATAGGAAAATATTGGAAAACATGCCAAGACAGTATTGCTGTTATTTTTATTTACATTATGTAACAATTTAGTTTTTATATTTTGTGGTAAACAGTTTTTTATTCTTCTAAGGTTATTGAGATTGAGCGCAACCGAGTTGGGCCAACTACCTGCTATAATTAAAATAGCCAATTTAATTAGTTAAACTCATTAAAGGGCTATGTTGAGTTAGGCCAGAAAATAAAAATTCTTATTTGTAAACAATGTTTATTTCATATAGGTTCAAATACATAATAAAGTACTGGTTATATTATACTATTTGGTGCATATTTAAAAGCAATGCATTGAACAAAATTGAATCTACTTAACTCATTACATTCCAATTCTCGGAGTTTTTCCGATAAATATAATTTTCTTTTCTCGATGTGAGGCCGTAGTTTTTTTGCATACTTGTTAGCGCTTACAATTTTTACATGTTTCTGTTTGAAAGTTAAGTAAAATTTCCACAAACTGAAAAATATTCGGATGGCAAGAATAAAAATAATGAATGAAATGACTCACAAGAATTTGTGGTACGTGTCATCGACAATGGCGGCTCGTGGGCACTAGCGGCAGTAGGGCACACACTGGAAAAGAATCCCGGGATTCGTTTTCTCCTTAGGAAAACAAGTTCTCCGCTTAATGAAAATTAAATATATTTTAAAACAAATTAAATATTACAAAATTGAAGACTAACTGCTAGGTACCGCTGAAGTTGTATACTATTTCTTATAGTTGAAGTCCATTCTTCTGGATTTTTGGCTAGCGAAGTGATCGATGACTAGATTATTAAAATTTGGAATGGACCGAATACGTTTTTTTTTCGATGGATAACATGGCTAACGCACACACTCTGTCTTGGCACATAGTGTTCCTTAAAAATGTTTTAATACGTTTTAGTGTCAAAAAACATCTTTCACTCTCCACTGTGGTCATGGGAATTGTACATAGGATAGTTAGCAGCTCCACAGATTCCGAAAATGTAATTGTCAAATTGTTCTCAAAAAACATTTGTAATAACGGTACGGCCCCATTGTGTTGCACAAAGTCATCTCGGGTGTAAACCATGGACAGTTCGTTTTTTAATTTTAAGCTATTTACGTTTGGAAATAAACTACACACAGTTTTAACGTCCTCATTAGGAAAACAACCTCGGTAGTCTTTAAATTTTTCACTATCAAATAAACTTGTTAGGTGAGTAGTAAAACTAAAACGTTCATTTACCTGCACTACTATTGTATCACAAATTTCCTTACATATTCTTAAATTAGGAATGGGGTCTTCCTTTTCAACAAACCGTCTCTTCTTGCTTGTACTTGTATGTGATTGGGTGTTGTCGTTTAAGTTTAGTTCTTGTGGGTCTTGTTGTGATTGCCATTCTTCATGAATTTTCGTGTCTATATTATTTCTAATATTTTGAATAGCTGTTGCAAAATTTGATATGTTTATCTTAACCTTGAGAGCATCGAGCTATCTACTCTGCAGTGGATTAAAAAGTATATCGCAATTTGGCATTATTTTGCTAAAGAAAAATAACCAGAAATTAAAATCGATGTCTTTCAAAAAATTTATCAACCCTTTAGTCAGATTAATAGTTTTTTTTTATCGAATTCTGTGTCCATAATGTCTTCGAAACATTTAATTAAATGCTCTTTATAAACATATATAGTATTGACATACTTTAATGTAAAATTCCACCGTGTACGAGCTGAACGAGGTAACCGTTTTTTTACAACCTTATCCAAAACGCTTGTTCTCTTTGTAGAGCGGGAGAAGTAAGCAGAAAATTCAGAGAGATTGGCGAAAAAAAACTCTTACAGCCTTATCTATTGAGAAACACTTTTTTCAATTATTATATTTAATTGGTGCGCGTAGCAGTGAATATATTGGGCATTTGGATATATGTTTTTAATTTTAGCTTGTACCCCTCCAACAATACCACTCATTACGGAAGCACCATCGTAACTTTGTGCTATTAGTTTTTCAGGTACTTTGTCAATTCCTAGTTCAGTTAATACCTCCAGAATTTCCGCCGAAAGCCCGTCTGCAGTGTGATCCATTGGTCTCAAAAAAAACTCCAAAACCATTCGTATTATAACAATTATATATCATACTTATCAAACGGATTACCGAAATGTACGGCTCCAAAATATCAACAAGCAAAACCACCCGGCAGTTGAAGGTAGGACAGCGCCCCGCTTGTGACGTATAATCCACCGCATCTGTTCATCTCTTGCTAAGCGATATTGTCGTTGTCCTTATTTTTCACGTTATAAGGAGAGAAAAAACAACAGAGGCACACATTTACTGTGCCCTGTGCCTATCTTCTACTTAATTTCGGCATTCTTGAAACGTCGCTCAACGCCCGGTCGTCCAGTGTCGTGTCAACGCGATTTGCGCTAAATATTAAATAAAATAATAATAGTATTATTTTTTTTTGGTTTATTATACTAGGGCACTTGCCCAAGTGCCCTTACGGGCTAACCGCCACTGGTCATCGAATCTGAGGCTGAAGACCATACAAACGGCGAAAATGTAGCATTTGCCCCAATATATAGGTATCTACTAAATAGTCGCAAAAGTCAGTTACTTTTTGGTTACCTACTACATCATTGTTTTCAAACAAATCAAATGCATAACAGTCACCAACTTCTTCTGGTTTAAGAAATGGAAGACCAAAGAAATATTTCAAATATTTTCCTACTTGATTTTCTGAACGGTAATCAGCGCTTAATCCTAAATATTGAATTTTTCGATACCAGGCTTGGAATAAATGAAAGCGACAGCCTATTATTTTTACGTTTTGCCACATAACTTTAACTGCATTATGAATCGCTAACTCAAAATCAATTACAACAATAGAAGGTTTAAAGTAACGACTTAATGTTTGACATTTTACATCCAATAACTCAAATAATTTAAGATACACAGATTGTGATTTTGAGGGTAATAAGCAAAAAACTAAAGGTACATAGTGTTCATTTTTGTAACCATGAATTGTAAAAAACTGTACAAAATATTTGGTCGAATATTGAAGTGTACCGTCCTTATAAACAGTATCAACTGAACATAAAAAATTAAAGTTCCTTCTGCAACCAAAAACAATTATCTGTGAAGGCCTATCGCAAATAGAAAGAAAACTCTTTGTTTTTATTTGTAATAGGATTCATCTTACCTAAACAAGTAAAAACATCCTCTTAATTTTTGGGGAGCGTGGGCACAACAGAACGTCTTGCGGCATAAATGTTTTTTCGCACTCTATGAATGTCGTGCGAGGTAATATCGTCACAAAACTCGTTCTTCCTTAATTCTTGATGGATGAATTTTGAGGGTTTTTCTGACAGGTCTGCAATGCTTTCCTTTTAATGCCATTGCTAAGGGCCTGTCGTTGAAGAGTGTCGTCTTCCTCATCTATTATTTGGTCACGAAGGATATAAACCTTGACTGAACACTTGTTTTTTTTAACACATCGCCATCGCACTTCACTATTGGCAAGAGTATTTGCCTCACAAAATTTAAAATTGCCTATAACTAACAACTTTTTCCCCTTTTCGCTATTTGACTTCCATGATCGTAATGTATACTCCGTCACAATTAAAGACAGAATAAAATAGTACTTTTCTATTTTCCTTACATTCGTAATGTATCTACACATCATTCTCCTAATTACTTATTAATACTCCTAATTATTAATTGACAAGGGATTAAAGAAGGTCGCTGGCCTAACTCAACTACCTAGATTACGCCACAAATATTAGCATTTTTATTTCGTTTTTAATTATAAATAATTCGTTAATTTTAATAAAACTATATAAAGTCAGTATTAAATCAAAAATATTAGGTGCCTCTATAGTGGTGAGGTCAGAGCACTTGCCTTTCATGCGAAAGGCCTGGGTTCAAATCTAGGATGGGGACAAATTAAATTAAATTAAATCTGTTTTGCTGAGGTATTTTTATAAATTAGTAAAAGTTATAAATTATTTTTATATTAGTTATTTTATCTTAATAACCTAAAATAATTTTTAATATTTGTAGATTTTCGTTAGTGGGTCGTAGAAAAAATATATTCTACAACTTGAGTGGATTCTCCACTCTTGTTGCACAAACTACTATTTTGCCGCAACAATATTTTTTGTAAGCAGAATATTTTTCGTACATCCACTGTTTTTTATTTATACCCCATAGATTTAATAATATATAAAATTGTTCGAGCCAAATCAAATTATTGGTCTTCCTATCGATGGTACTGTCTTTTAGCCAAAAGAGATATTCATCTGTCGATTGGTAAAAATTTGAAAAATACGAGATTTATCAATAAAAAGGTTAAAATATATGTTTTTTGATTAATCTGCATTGCTCAGATTTGATATAAATTTTGTAAAAAAATTCAATGGTAGATTCTATATCTAATAATATAAAAAACATATAAAAATGGGTTTCAACATGCTGTCGAAAACCAGTGGCGTACAGTTTTTCTTCTAATCAAGACTTGTGCATGAAAATCTGACCTTTTATGGTATATGTTTGAATTTGAATTCAAACCGCCATGTCAAACAGAACGTTTGACAGCCACAAGAAATATATACAACGAAAACAGCCGAAGGCTGAAAACGTCATAAATCTTTATCGCATAAATAATAAAAAACCAACGCCTAAAATTAAATAATAAAAATGCACAAGCCCAAATAAATAATTCTAATAGTTAAAATAACTAAGAACGCACATAAATAATAATAATTAGATAATCCCTCCACAATCAAGCTCTCTTATTGGCCAAACGAAAGGCTTTAACGCGATTCGGCGCCGCGGCGCGAGAATAACGCCAGTGCGTTTCCAATTTCCAACACTCAACGAGTAAAGACAGTATGTTTCTAACACTCAACCAGGAGTGTGTTTCTAACACTCAAACTGTGAAGAAGCGTGCCTCTCATGCTCAAGCAGAAAAAATCTGCGTTCATTGTACACGCGAAAAGTAGTGCCTTCGCAACACCCCTTAACGTACCCGACCCCGGATTATCGGCCCGCGACATTAAAAAAAGCTACATGAATTCTCTAACTTCCAGTGAGTGGTGGGTTTCCCGCCTTAGTGCGAATATGCCGGCAAACCATTGTAAAAAGTTGAACCCACGGTGTACGTGTTAGTTTGTAAGCAGGAAGCCTACCCACAGGTGCAGGGCCTGCAACAGGTCCTTTTTTGTTTCCCCTTTTTTATTTCTTGATTGAATTGTGAAATATAACATAAATCACTTGCTTTCAATAGGTCTTTTCCTTTGCATCGACAGTGTAGCACTGAGCTACACCACTTCTGAAAATATTGTTCCATCCATACAATTTGTATAAATGGAACGATATTTTCAGAAGTGGTGTAGCTCAGTGCTACACTTTCGATGCAAATGAAAAGACCTAAAACCGGCATTTTTTGGCAGTGTTGCCACTTGTCAACAAAATACTTACTGACCCTGTTGATAATTAATATAGTATGTTTAATGATCTCTAGTGCATTATTTTTCCCAAGCACCAAATATTTCAGAATGCTCTCCCAGTGCAGCCATCGAAGACAAATGTAATAGCGGCTTAACAAATGAACTACAGTCCACTAGATGCCGTTTTAGGCTTGCTATTACAGTACATTTTAGTGTACCAGAACAATTCAGTATCTCAACGGGTTATCGATAAATGTAATAAGATTAACTATTAAAGACAAAAAAGTTTAAACACCCTGAATCTTGAAAACGGAGCATTTCCGGACCCATGTTTATATGAGCTTTTTAAAATATTTTTAGATTTAGAATTTGCCATTAAATTTTTATCTAAACATTCTGTAACACCCTGTATACATATTTAAAGAATTAATTTCAATTTTCAGAGGACGCAGGGATATACACTTGTACTGCAACAAACCCAATAGGTTCTGCAAATACGTCGGCAACATTGGAGGTACCAGGTGAGCGCAGATCCCAGTATATAAAGTAAAAAATGGTGGTGGTATAACACAGTAGAACTTTACACTGCCAGGAGCAGTCCGATATACACTAGTCAAAGTGCCTTAAACTATGCCAAATAAATTTAATCTATTAATTATCTTTTTTTTTTTTTTTTCTAAATATGCTTGTGTTGTGCACAAAACTGTATTTATATACTTAAGTTGTATATTGTCGATATTGTTTTTTTTTTTCTCGATATAAAATATTAAAATGAGTTTTCTGGTCATATAAATACTGGTGTATTGTTAGTAGTATTTAATGAAAAATATATATATTTATATTTGTTACCTTTACTATAATTTATTTATTTATTGTGTCTGTTACTTTGATTATTAAAGCTTTTCCGCATTTAAATTTTTACTTACACTGGGCACCTATTTTCCTTTTCCTATACTTCCTGACACATTAGTTTGAAGCTTTCTTACGTGGGTGCTACGGTAAGTTCTTGAAAATAATACTAACGAATGGTTTTTGAAGCAACATTTTTCTTTTTAGTTATTTTTCTATATACCAAGACATTTTTGAAATCTGAAAAATCGATTTTTAATTAAAAAATAAAAAATTATATTTTTTGGACATTCTACGCTTACGTAAAATACATATTATTTTTTTTAGGAATCATTGATATAAGTAATAAATAATGTTAAGTATGTGAACCTAAACTTAGTTAAAGTTTCCAAATTTTTGGCCAAATAATTTTAAATTGTAAAATAAACAAAATCAAAGTAATGGTTATATCTCTCTTCAACATGTTATAATACTTGTAATTTAAAGTCCAGAAGGGCCATGGAAGTAGTTGTTTAGTATTGTAATGCGGTCCGACTAATTATCGGGCATGGATATAGTTAATCGGTTGCTTCAAAAACCATATAGATTTTAAGATATTAACAACAATAGTTGTATATTATTCCATATTAAATAACAACTACAACAAACTTGTAAATATATTTTATCGCCAACCATCAATAAAGCCATACATTACCATAGCTATTTGCGGAAGTAAACAAACACATTATCTTATTGTAAAAAACACATATTTTATCTGCGGATAATATTTATCAACATAGCCATGACCATCTGAAAAAAATAGTTTGTAACTGATTTGTTTTGTATTCGGTGTTATTTTTCTGTTTGTTTACTTTGTCATACTAAAATGTGATGTCATAATATCTCGTGTTTTTTTGATTATAATTATTTACGGTTGGCGATAAAAGTTTGTATGGACCACCTCAGCAAAATCTCTTTATCGAACTCGCCTGTTACTCGCCTCGCTCGCTTCGATAAAGAATCACTTTGCCGACTTGGTACATAAATAACTATTAGTAAAATCATTACAATTTATTTTAACACAATTAATAGTAAATAAAGCATGCAACTATTAGAATGTCATTTTATCCTGAATTTGGAATTATTTTATTTCTAATATTTCTTATATTTGGTATGCAATAAAAGTAACAAGCTCCAACGATAACGAATAATAGTCTAGTCTAAATCATTTTATTTTTAAAGCATTTAAGGTGATGAATACAAGTTAGATTTCAACAATAAATTATATTACCAACAGTGGCAGCTGGTGCATAAGTTACGTAAAGCTGCAGGACAGCCAAAAAAATGCAAATATTTCATCTACATTTCACAGAAACTGTTTTAGACATTCTAAAATACAGTGAGCACCAAGTCTTACCCTCCCTATCTAACTCGTTACTGGATTCTTGTTAGGAAAATCGCTGAGACACGACGATTTTTGATTTCTACAATGTACATTTTTGTATGAATAGTTTACCCTTAATTTCATCCCTTACTAGAGGGGAGCAACCCTTTCGAAAAATTTAAATGGCATGGGGTAATGAATGATAACTCATTTGAAAGAGGGTTTTATTCTCTATTCAACCGTGTAAAAAAATTTGAAATTTGCTTCATTAATTCTCGAATAATTGTTGTTTCAGAATAACGGAAATTAACGTAGCGCACTCATCCTTAGAATTAAAATTAGGCCCTGCATGATTTCGGTTTTGGTTCAGACGTGAAGTAAGACTTTTTGCCATTAGAAGGTCACTGTTAGTCTAGTTGCTTTCCTATTTTGTGAGGTTTTGTTATTTTTAAACATTAATAAATCAATACGTAATGAAGCAAATTTCAAAATTTTTTGCACGGTTGAATAGAGAATAAAACCCCCTTTCAAATGAGCTATCACTCACCACCCCATGCTATTTAAATTTTTCGAAAGGGTTGCTACCCTCCAATAAGGAATGAAATTAGGGGTAAACTAATCATGCAAAAATGTACATTGTAGAAATCAAAAATCAAACTGTTTCGGCGATTTTCCTAACAAGGCTCCAGTAACGAGTTAGTTAGGGGGGGGGGGGTAAGACTTATGATGCTCACTGTATACGTAAAATAAAATAATTTTATCGATTTTCTCATTAATTTTAATTATTAAATAGTATCCATAGCGCGCGAAGGTATCCTACTATCAGTCCATAGCTCGCCGGAAGCCAGAGTTTGGTAATATCCGGATACTGTATGTGTCCGAAAGCTGAGTCCGGGTATTTTTCAAATTTTGTATCCGGTATTTGTATCCGTGGTCAAATTTGTGCTAAAACCATGTTTACTAACTCCCATTTGTGTCTTATTGACCTGGTATGCCATACTTATTTGACATCATAACAGCCAATCTGGCGCACAATTCAAATCTTGCGCTGTTAATGAAACATCCTTTATAACCACAAACAATCCTTGTACATGAACTCGCGTAATAATTTGGCAATATTAATTCGCCTTTTGTAAACAAAATAATTGATCTTATCTCTTCCTGACTCTAATTACAATGAGTTTGATTAAGCGACAAACCTGTCATGTGTGGATAGTAACCGTTTTGAAAGGTTGCAATAAATAGTTATAGAATCTCGTATATTTTTTATTTAATTGTTTATATAACAGCATTTTTCGTGGTAAACTGTCACCATCACACCAATTTATATTAGATTTTCATATAATGATAGATTTAGGTGCCCTATTTTCGCATACAAGCCTCGAAGAGGGTTAAAAATTACATCGATGTTGAGTAGAATAAAAGGAAATTACGAGTGATTCTTGAGGATAACACATGGAAAATTCGATTATCCTTAACAGAAATATATTCCGACCCTAAAATGCACTTATTCATTCGGGTCATTCAAGCCAATATGTTATTCTGAGTAGTGACGATGTAGGTTTTCATACATTCGACATGTGAAAAAATCCGATAAAACCTTTATTTTTTTTCTTACAAGATAACGCCCTTATTTCAACCCTTTAGCCACTTTCAAGCCATTGGTTTTCTGAAACCTAGTTCTATTAGTTAATCATTTAGTGAACACGGCTTACGTAAAAATATGGGCAACAAATATTTTTAATTTGTTAAGGGAAATCGAATTTTCCATATGTTATCATTCTACTCAAAATCGATGTACTTTTCAACCCTTTTCGAGGCTTGTATGCGAAAATTAGGCACTTAAACCTGTCACTATCTGAGTCTATAAATCTCGTAGAAAACCCATATTGAAAATTGCCAAACTGTTTTAATAATTTGCGTCCCATCTAAAGTCTTTGAAGAGATAATAAGCAGATAGTATCTAAACAACGTAATTTCATGTCAAATATATCTATAAATACTTATATATTTGTTTATTTTTGGAAACCAAGATTTGGAGACGTTAAGTTAAATATCCAATGTAAAACAAGAACGTCTTAAAAAAACCAGTTTATATCTGATAATTTCTTTATACGCGGTAAACTGTATTAAAAAAACTAACGGTTATACTACTATTGTGGAATTACCTATTCGAAAAATAGGTTACAGAAGAAAACAGGTGCCAATATAATCTTCAAAAATAAAAACAAATTTACAACAGTTTTTAGAAATTAATTGTACCAAAAAATTATTAGCTAAAACGTTAATATAATAATTTGTAAGAAAAGAACCAAATAGAGCAAACATTGACTAATAAAAATAAAATTACTGTCTCATGTTAATTTAATGATATAACTTCATTTTGAACCTTGTGAATGGTCAAACTACTTACGGACAAGCGAGGTTGCATATCAAGAATTGCTGTACCTACTTAGGTACAACAATTATAAAAAAGCAAGACATGAGAGGAGATATTTCACCATATGAGAAGTTAAGTACAACACTTAGATTTTTGGCAACCTGGAGTACTTTCCAAAGTCTTAGATGTCTTACTGTAATAGTATCATAATATCTGAAATTTGTAAAGGTATAAAAAAAGTACTGAAATACTGTACTGTAAGTAAAGTACTGTTGCAGATAAAGATCAATAATTTTTGTCAGAAGGTCATATTTTAACAGGTTTGTTCCAACAACGATCAGAAACCAGTCATTGCCACCAGGATTGTGCGCAGTATGAATTTGGCGGTCTAAATAATATACTGCGCAGAATCTTGATGTCAATGACTGTTTTCGGATCGTTGTTGGAATAAACCGGACATAACGATATTTACAAATATTCTGCTAGTAAGAGACATTAACGGACAAGTTTATTTATACATAATTTCAACTAATAACTGTACCTACTGTTATGAACGCAGCCTCGTACAAGGTTGGCAATACTGACGAGACTTGGAATGTCGACTGTCAACGTCGTGACTTTGCACCTTTGGTCTTTTTGTATTTTCGAAGTTTGGAATAAAATAAAATGTCTTATTAAAAGTCTGGTCTTTTAATGAAAATACTTAACACTCAGTTTTCTTTCGTTGTTTTGTGTTTACACATACATATAACTGACAACTGAACTGAAACTGAAAATGAACTGAGAAATAATATGACCGTCTAAAAAGATCTACACCGAAGCATTGCTGCGCTAATCAAAGAGGATGGCACGAAAACTGCCAACCTCGAAGATAGCATCAAACTTCTGCTGTCAACACACTTCCCTGACTCGGTCATCACAGATGTGGCGGACTGGGCAGAGAAAGAATACAATCCATCTGTCTATGATTGGCAAACTGCCAAACACATTGTAGACGACGAAAAAATTAGATGGGCAATATCCAGCTTCTCTCCATTTCAATCGCCAGGACCTGACGGTATCTATCCAGCCCTACTGCAGTGAGGTCTGGAAGAACTCACACCGCACCTGGTGGGTATATTCAGATCCTCGTTGGCTCTGAGATATATCCCCAAAAAATGGAGAAAAGTAAAAGTGGTATTTATATCCAAACCTGGAAGGATGGATTACACTGTCCCAAAAACATACCGATCAATTAGTCTGACATCGTTTTTCATGAAGACATTGAAAAGGCTATGCGAAAGGTACATAAGGGATGCAGTGATTACAACAACACTACACCA